TTTATATTCAATCAAAAACGATGCGAATACATGACAGGACTTATCAGTTGTTCCTTCTGGGAGATGAACCAAAGTACTTTGATAATGGTAAACAAATTATCAAACGTCGTTCGGAGACAGTTATATCATGTTTAACTAATGATATCTCAGACGGAACTGCAATGATAAATAAGCAAAACATTAGTAACGATATCTGTATTCCTAATGCTCTTGTTAATGTCAAAAATAAAAGCTTTCTCATTACTTGTGTAAACTCGAGTGATAATGACGTATATATTTCAACGCCTATTATAGATGTAAATTCTGTTAACGAATCGGAACTAATTCAACAGTCTGTTTCCTTACCCAATTCACAAATTAACAACATCTCTATAAAACAAAGAATAGATATCGGGAGCCTTATAAGGTGTGATCATTTAAATAAAGAAGAACGTGAATCTCTCGATAAAATAACTTCAAAATATTCAGACATTTTCTACGTGGAAGGCGATCCACTAACGTTCACGAATCACACTAAACATTCTATTCCTACTACGTCAGATATACCAATTAATACTAAAACTTATAGATTCCCTCAAGTACACCAACAAGAAGTAAGAAATCAGATAGACAAAATGTTACAACAGAATATAATAAAAGATAGTACTTCTCCATGGAGCAGTCCAATCTGGGTAGTTCCAAAAAAATTAGACGCGTCTGGAAAACAAAAATGGCGTGTTGTAATTGATTATAGAAAATTAAATGACGTCACTATTGGAGACAGTTACCCGTTGCCTAACATAACTGACATACTAGATAAGTTAGGACATTCAGTATATTTCACAACTTTAGATTTAGCATCCGGTTTCCATCAAATTGAATTAGACCCCAAGGATATTCCCAAAACTGCCTTCAGCACTCCTTTTGGTCATTACGAATTTTTAAGAATGCCTTTCGGACTCAAAAATGCACCAGCTACATTCCAACGTGCCATGGATAGTGTACTTTACGGATTACAAGGAGAACGATGCTTTGTTTATCTTGATGATATCGTAGTGTTTGCATCCAGCCTTCAAGAACATAAACAGAAATTAACTGAAGTATTCGATCGGTTACGAAAATACGGTCTGAAAATACAACCAGATAAATGCGAATTCTTGAGAAAAGAAGTTGCTTACCTGGGTCATATTATATCGAGTGAAGGTGTAAAGCCAAATCCCGAAAAAGTAAAATCAGTTCGTGAGTTTCCAGTCCCTAAATCATGTAAAGATATTAAATCATTTCTTGGTCTCGCAGGCTACTATCGTAGGTTCATACCTAACTTTAGTAAGCTCACTAAGCCTTTAACAAGCTTATTAAGAAAGGATGTTCCGTTTACATGGAATTGTGTACAACAGCAGGCTTTTGACTCCTGTAAGGAAATTCTCACAACGACTCCTTTGTTACAATATCCCGATTTTACTAAAGAGTTTATATTAACTACGGATGCTTCAATCCACGCTATCGGAGCGATTCTCTCGCAAGGTGAAATTGGCAAAGATTTACCTATTGCTTACGCATCACGTACGTTAAATAAAGCTGAAAGTAATTATTCTACCATAGAGCGCGAACTTCTCGCAATAGTATGGGCCGTGAAACACTTTCGACCATATTTATTCGGTAGAAAATTTAAAATATTTACTGATCACAAACCACTCACATGGTTATTTTCCATTAAAGATCCGGGATCTCGTCTCGTTCGCTGGAGACTGAAACTAGAAGAATATGAATATGAAATAAATTACAAAGCCGGAAAAAATAATACAAACGCCGATGCCTTATCACGACCACCTATATTAAATATGGGTACAGACAACCCTGAAAAACAATTTGAAACATTATTAAAAACAAACTATGAACAATTCTTATCTCAAGGTTGTAGCGCTAATTCACACAAGCTTAAAACTTCACCTGAAAATCTTTTAGAGTCTAATCATAAAAATATCTTCATCCCTGTGTCGTGTCAAAAATCGGATCTTAATAACTTATACAACGAAGCTTTAGATTTATGTGCTTCCCAAAGCAATCAACCTGAAACAGAAAAACAAGTCTACGACATAGATAAAATAACTTCTGAATATCAGCAAAACATTTTCCTTTGTTATACTAGAACATCATACTATGATCCATGGGACGCGGAGAGTTATTTCAAATCATTGTTATCGTGCTTACATAAGCATAATATTGAAACTTTGTATATACCGAACCTGAAATATGATCAAACTTGCAAGCTTCAGGGCAACCAACAGCTACATATCTCAGCTTATTTAGCAGAAATATATAATTGCAATATAATCATTTGCGAGAATAAAATTACTCATCCTTCGCCTCAGGAAATTCCCAGCATTCTAAAAACATACCATGATGAACCGCTCTCAGGACATCGAGGTATAATTGAAACCACTAGGAAAATTCGAGAACATTACTTCTGGAAAAATATGGCCGAAGATATCAAAAATTACATAAACTCTTGTGAAATATGTCAGCGCAATAAGATCCAAAGAAAAACTTTTAAAGCTCCAATGGTATTAACATCCCAATCTAATGAACCTTTTGAACGTGTTTCTATAGACTTAGTATCATATTCTGACATTAGTGACAATAATAACAAATACATATTGACACTACAAGATGAACTAACTAGGTACGTCCAAGCTTATCCAATTCCTGATAAAGAAGCTCTAACAGTTGCTAAACAACTCTTTTACTTCTGTCAACATTTCGGTGTACCTAGACGTTTCCATTCTGACCAAGGTACTGAATTCATGAATGGACTAATGAAGCAATTAATAAGACTTCTCGGTACAAGTCAAACTTTTAATACAGCTTACCACCCTCAAACTAATGGTGCATTAGAAAGGTTTCATGCCACACTTCGAGATCACATACGAATGTACCAGGCACGTAAATTGAAAAATTGGGATCAAATTATTCCATTGGCTATTATATGTCATAACACCTCAGTTAATAGCTCTACAGGTTTCACACCCTACGAACTTCTATTTGGTTTTAAACCAAGACCTTTTTATTCATTAAAAACAATACCCGATTATACTGCATTCGATTACATTAAAGATTTAAACGAACGACTTAGAATAGCCCGCGATGTCGCAACACAGAACGTTCAGAAAATGAAAGAAAAAGCCAAGGAACGTTACGACGGGAAAATTAAAAATATTGCTAAATTTAATGTAGGTGACAAGGTGATGATCAAGGTCCCTAACCCAAATAATTTAGATAATAAGTGGGAAGGGCCATTCGATGTGATACGTGTAGGCTTTAATGAAAATTATGTTATTCGTAAATCCGGGAGACATCAGTTAGTTCACGCAAATAGATTAAGACCTTATGAAATAAATAAACTCGTTAATTAAACAAACAATTAGCCGTGTGGTAGCCGGCTTTACCAAAGAATAGCACCAACGTTCAGATTTGACGTGTCGTATAAGGCGACTAACAAACAATTAGCCGTGTGGTAGCCGGCTTTACCAAAGAATAGCACCAACGTTCAGATTTGACGTGTCGTATAAGGCGACTAACAAACAATCAGCCGTGTGGTAGCCGGCTTTACCAAAGAATAGCACCAACGTTCAGATTTGACGTGTCGTATAAGGCGACTAACAAACAATTAGCCGTGTGGTAGCCGGCTTTACCAAAGAATAGCACCAACGTTCAGATTTGACGTGTCGTATAAGGCGACTAACAAACAATCAGCCGTGTGGTAGCCGGCTTTACCAAAGAATAGCACCAACGTTCAGATTTGACGTGTCGTATAAGGCGACTAACAAACAATTAGCCGTGTGGTAGCCGGCTTTACCAAAGAATAGCACCAACGTTCAGATTTGACGTGTCGTAGAAGGCGACTAACAAACAATTAGCCGTGTGGTAGCCGGCTTTACCAAAGAATAGCACCAACGTTCAGATTTGACGTGTCGTATAAGGCGACTAACAAACAATTAGCCGTGTAGTAGTCGGCTTTACCAAAGAATAACACTGACGTTCAGATTTGACGTGTCGTATAAGGCGACTAACAAACAATTAGCCGTGTAGTAGTCGGCTTTACCAAAGAATAACACTGACGTTCAGATTTGACGTGTCGTATAAGGCGACTAACAAACAATTAGCCGTGTAGTAGTCGGCTTTACCAAAGAATAACACTGACGTTCAGATTTGACGTGTCGTATAAGGCGACTAACAAACAATGAGCCGTATAGACGCCGGCTTGTACAAAGAATAGCTCTAATATGTTAAGTTGTTTCCACATCAAACAACTTATAGTATTAATTTATTATAAGCAATATTCTAAAATCAATTAAATCAATAATTCTTTAATAATCAATTAAATCAACAATTCTTCTATAATCAATTAAATCAATATTTCTTCTATAATCAATTTAATCACTAATTCTTCTATAATCAATTAAATCAATAATTCTTCAATAATCAATTAAATCAATAATTCTTCAATAATCAATTAAATCAATAATTCTTCAATAATCAATTAAACCAATAATTCTTCTATAATCAATTAAATCAATAATTCTTCAATAATCAATTAAACCAATAATTCTTCTATAATCAATTAAATCAATAATTCTTCTATAATCAATTAAACCAATAATTCTTCTATAATCAATTAAATCAATAATTCTTCTATAATCAATTAAATAAATAATTCTTCAATAATCAATTAAATCAATAATTCTTCAATAATCAATTAAACCAATAATTCTTCTATAATCAATTAAATCAATAATTCTTCTATAATCAATTAAATAAATAATTCTTCAATAATCAATTAAATCAATAATTCTTCAATAATCAATTAAATCAATAATTCTTCAATAATCAATTAAATCAATAATTCTTCAATAATCAATCAATCTTAATCAATAAATTGAGATTTTGTATCATTTTTGTTATATTCGTTAGCTTACGAATCGTCCTAAAATCGTCTTTATTTCTAATAAAAAATAAAACATAATTAAAACTAAATTTATAAATAATAGTTCTTATGTTTGTTCAATTCGATATTACCTTAATAAATTAGAAAAAAAACTTGTAATAGAATCTTCTTCCTTGATGCTCGAACAAATCTTAATTATTTCTTCAACAACTAAAAACTTCAATGAAACTATATTTAAAATAACGTATGATGAGCAAATAATTAACGAAAATATTAATCGCCTTAATGATTACTTAAACTCAAGTCAAAAGGTTATTTTCAATCTAAAGGCTAGTGAAGACATTTCCGTAATTTCCTTGCAGATATTAGAATCGGTAATAGATCTAGAAAATGAAATTAATGATTGTTTAGCAAGCATATTGTTCGTAAAATCTAATACAATACATCCCTCTATAATAACTCTTAAACATCTATATGAAGAACTTTTATTATCTAATCATATACGTACCAACAAACACTTAGTTACTCCAGTCACTATTGAAAATATTCATCAAATATTAGACTCAGCTTCTCTTTCTGCTTATGTATATTCTGATAGACTTGTATACATATTAGATTTTCCATTAATTCAAGGCGAACCTCTCAATCTCTATCACATATATTCCATTCCAATTCAACATTTTAATTCCTCTTTACATACAACCATCCTACCTGAGCACATGTATCTGGCTACAAATCCTAGCGGTAATATATACGTATCTACGAGCGACCTCACTTCATGCAAGTCCTACGCTATAAAGAAGAAGATCTGCACCTCTTTTGTCGCATATGAAGCAGCATCACGTCCATTATGTGAGCTCCAGATCCTGTTAAGCATTTCAAAAACTTTACCTGAAATTTGTACCACATCCACATTTGAAGCAAGAATTAACACTTTTCAAAACATTGACAACAACCAATGGCTTTATATACTTACAGAAGACACTAATTGTATACTTCAATGTAAAACGGAAGTTACACATCATAAATTACAAGGAGCAGGCATTTTATCCTTACCGGAAAACTGCAAACTTTATACTGGGTATAGTACGCTAACAGCCTTTCAATCTATTGAAGAAAATGTGACATATCCTGTAATAATTCCAGACATTAGAACAGACGATTGCTTTGAAGAATACAAGAACTTTGAAGCTCCAAACTTAATTCCTATTAAAATTAATGAAATGCCTTTGGATTCACTGAAACAAATAAAACATCATGTCGATAAATTTAAGGAAAGCTTAGAAAATATGAGATCTCGACCAATCTTACAAAGATATTCGTCAACGTTTACATGGATATACTTCGTGTTATTCATAACAATGCTAGGATACTTCATTTATAAAATTAGCAAACGTTGTCCTAATGGATTACTCCTGCGTAACCGAAGACCGAGCCGTGATAATGGTTGTATACAAATATTTAACAACTGTTTTTCAAACACATCACGACGTCAGAGAACCCAAGTTGCCGTCCCGATCACTACTATAGCAACAAGTACCTGCGTAACGGAAGACGAAGAGGAAAATGAAGAAAATTATCCAAGAACTTCAACACCGAGTGTTCAAAGATTAAGCTCTCAAGCCCAATCTTTATTCTAAGGGGGGAGGTGTTACATATATTAAGAGTACGTGACCTAAGACCATGTGTCAGCCTACGACCTAATCATTATAATATTTGACATTCCTATTTGTATATTTGTATTTGTCCATTTGATATCGAAATCATTATATTGTTTAATATTCATATTTGTATATTTGTTTATCTCATACAAGTTTCCATTAGTAAGTTATTATCTGTATTTGTTGTCACTCTTTCGATGGAAGTATTTGACTATTGTAATTGTAAATAGTAATTAAGATATCTCTACTATATATATGGACGATTTGTAATAATAAAGACAGTTCAATTCAGAATACTCTACGAGTCTAGTCATTTCAAAAACACCAACTGTGTTAAAACCCTGCCCCATAACAGTATATCAAATTTCATAGTGATTGGTTAACTTAGGCGCTAAAAGGTAACAAACAAATTTACTTTTACATTTTTAATATTATTAAGGATTGTAATATAAACTGTCGTGTAGGGGGAAGGGATTGTTAGTAATGAGATTATAATAGCTCCATTGTTAGCATTATACATATCTTGGTTATTTCTTGCGATATTTATTACGATGTACTAACTGACCTGCTTGGGGGGAAAGGGATTGTTAGTAATGGAGACAGAATCCCATTGCTAGCAATATACCCAACCAGGTCGACCTCCTCGCGGTTCTGCCTGGTAACTATCATGGTTAATTCCTGATGAATTCATCATGATGGGCTAACTGGCCTGTGTTTATTCTCATCTATCACCCTTCACTGGTGCTCCGCCAGCGTATCCCGTTAGCGCAGGCGGGGTTACCATACCATTTTCACCCATAAAAAATAATCTGACCTGCTTTTGCCCTTATCTATTATCTCTCGCTGTTGCTCTGCCAGCGTATACTGATAGAGCAGGCGGGATCACCATTATCCAAAAAAAATTTCAGTATGGTCCCGGCATAGAAGGGGCTAACCCTTTCTTTCCTATGGGTGTCATAAGAGGCGACTAAAGGAACTTAATGGTTAAGGGAAGAGCAGCAGCGTCAGCAAGAGGTTGGTAAGAGTTATGGAGCAATTTACTGCGGTTGCCAATCCGCCAGCCAAACGTGGCAACTATTGGCAAAACCTCCCTTATGGTAAACTGCAATAAAGAAACGGACCTTATGGCAGTCTATGGAGAAGGCCTATATCCAGTAGTGAATAAATAACGTCTGACATGGGCGGGGGATCGTTAGTAATGCGGACTACCAGTCCCATTGCTAGCAATATACCCCGTCAGGTCGACCTCCACGCGGATCCCCCTGAAACATGATTGATTATTATTGTTGAATTCGTTACCATGGGCTAATTGACGATTTATGACGATGTAGTACGTCAAATATTATCCCTTACTAACGCCCCGCCAGTGGACAATTATTCTATTATCATACATTTCTAAATACTACATAATTATTAATAATATGAATTGGTAGTTAATAATAAGTCTTTTCTAATAGTTAGTGTACATTGACGCTTATCTGTGAGAGCTGTATACACCTTTAATTTATGTGTTCATATGGCCTTAAGCTTGGTAGTGAGGAGTGAGATGTTTTTGTTCAAACTTAGATTTAAGCATTTTTTAATAGTAGTTTTTCTCTTTTACTTACTAATAACATTGTATATTGTCTACTTAATTATTGTGAGCATATTGTTGGTGCGTCTTTTATAAATAAATAAATTAAAAAAAAAACAGCTGACATGATGATACTATAAATAACATTCAAAATCAATCTATGAAAATGTAATTGAATAAATGATTGAGTATTGTAACTAATGAAAAAGATATTACCAATTTGAATCTCAAGTGATTTACAAGAGGCACTTGTATTCCGTTCCTCTTGAACGGATGATACCCCTTTGATCCACGTTATTTCGGGATTAATTTCTCAGTTGATTCGCAAAAATAAATTAATGAAGCATTTTTGTATGAAGGAATGTTTGGAGTTACGTCTGGGCGCAATCACAATGGATAATTACTCGCCTGCCTTCAAAATGACGGCATCTTTTGGATCAGTAGCACTATATACGAATACTGATACAAATTGATGGATTGCAGCAAATCAGGCGTTGCTTTTTTTTTTTTTGATGGGTGAAAATGGTATGGTAACCCCGCCTGCGCTAACGGGATACACTGGCGCCAGTGAAGGGTGATAGATGAGAATGAAAACAGGCCAGTTAGCCCATCATGATGAATTCATCAGGAATTAACCATGTTAGTTTCCAGGGGGAAACGGCGAAGAGGTCTACCTGGTTGGGTATATTGCTAGCAATGGTATTTTTAGTCTCCATTACTAACAATCCCTTTCCCCCCAATCAGGCTTTGTTAGATTGCATATACTTTTATGTGCCGTGTGGTCCCGGCATAGAATAGTCCCTTCTTATCCCGTGGGTGTCGTAAGAGCCGACTAGAGGAGGGTGAGACGGGCAGCAGCGTCCCTCTTAAAACATCTTCAAAGCCTAATTGCCGTTGCCAATCCGCCTGCCAAACGTGGCAACTACCAATGGTATGGCTTATGTTCAGCAGTGGACAGTTGAAGGCTGATATGATATCCTTCTAGGAATACAATAATATTACATTGTGCTATATTTTTTTTAATATGTGAAAATAGAATACTAATCCCGCTTGCGCTATCGGTATACGCTGGTGGGACACCAGTGAGGGATGATAGGTGAGAATGAACACAGGGTACGTTAAGTAGTTGTCCCGACAAGGGAAACTTAAATAAAAAAAATAGTTAAATAATATTTTATTTTACTGTTTAACCAATTTTAAAAAGAAAGGTTCTCAATTCGGTACTATTTTTTATGTTTAATAATTGGTCGCATAGACATTTTCTCAAAAACGTTTTAGTAGTTTAGTTTTTACATCAAAATAATTGGTTTTGTCAATAAAATCTTACAATTTAGTGACGCAAAATGTTTTGAAAATAATAGAGATAGAAAAGAAGAATGCAAAATTTTGTTTGCAGAGCAGGAAACTTCTTTTAGTTTACAACAAAAACATATACCTAAACATATAGATATAGATATACAGCGGATCTACCATGAAATGAAATTCCGAAATTTCGGACCCAATTTCGTGTTTTTGTTTATACCAAAATCGGACCAATAAATGGAGTTTAACATTTCGTTCGTCATACATCTTATCGTAAAAGTCCAAAGGTATAATATTTTAACATTTTTAATATTTCCAAACGGCATGCATTATGTAATTTTGACATCAAATGTGTGTTTCGTTTGGCTCCGAAATTTCGGAAAACATTTCATGGTAGGCCCTCAGTGTTCTTTAGAACACAGTCTATTTGGTTAAAATAATTATAATCCGATAGGCCGCAGCAGTTTTTTTTAATGGATGATAATGGAATGCTAACCCCGCCTGCGCTATCGGTATACACTGGCGGGGCACCAGTGAGAGATAATTGGTGAAGATGAAACAGGTCAGTTAGCCCACCGTGACGAATATAACGATAAATCAATCACATTGGTTTCCAGGGGGAACCACGAGGAGCTCGACCTGACAGGGTATATTGCTAGCAATGAGGCTACTAATCCCCATTACTAACAATTCCTTCTTCCCTCGATCGCAGTAGTTAGACAGTCTGATTTCGTAGACTTTAATTAAGTTTTAAATATTTATTATAAAATATTTTTTAAACACTGGCTGCGGTAATAACGTAGACTGTTGATGTTTCTGACTTTGACAGGTTCAGAGAACTTTCGCACTTCTCTAGCCGAGTTAATGTAGGAATTAAAAAAAAAAACTTACTTTAAAGTGTCTAAAGATAAGTTTAGATGAAATTTGTTTCAATATTGCACGAGTTAATTATACTTAATTTTTTGCTTAAACGTTTTTAATTTAGCATACTTACCTTAAAAACCATCATTAAAATCTATTTAGTAGTTTAGTTTTTGAATCGCCTATAGTGGGATTATTTTTATTCTCCTATAGTGGGAAGAGCCCTACATCCAATAGCGGAATTTATTTTTAGTTATGCGTACGATAATACATAGATTTAGATTAGGTATTTTTTATTTTAAAGTTTACTCCTCGTCGGTGCATCTTCATGCGTTCTCTTTCAGCTAGTTCTATTCCAGGCGATATCTTTGACCTCCATATACGACATGACACCTAGTGTTTCCTTTCTGTAGCATGTACTCCTTCCTCGGTCTTCCCCTTTCTCTTTAAAATATTGTCATTTCGTATAAAGTTGAATCAAGATTCAGATTTAATATGGTAAATTCCTACGAATTTATTAGAAGACTATTTGTGAGAATTTTTTTTTTATACAACTTAGAATTGCAAGCAAGCTGACGGCCCACCTGATGGAAAGTGGTAACCGTCGCCTATAGACATGAGCAGTACCATGGACATAATAGGCCAGTTAGCCCATCATGATGAATTCATCAGGAATTAACCATGATAGTTTCCAGGGAGAACCGCGACGAGGTCGACCTGATTGGGTATATTGCTAGCAATAGGATTCTCAGTCTCCATTACTAACAATCCGTTTCCCCCTTGTTACTATTCTATTATCATCCATTAAAAAAAAAGACCCCCCCCACTAGATGGAGTGATAACCTGAAATGCATTGCAGGGAATTAGTGGATGCAGGTGGCTCAGGACCATTCTTTATGGCAGTCTATGGGGGAGGCTTATGTCCAGCAGTGGACGGATAATGGCTGAAATGATGATGATGATGAATAAATACTTAATCACTTTTCATAAGAGAATGGGGAATATTCTTCTAAACATTACAGAGAATAAGTATACAGAAGATTATTTGATTGTGCACTGGTAACGCCTGATAAAATAATATAGCAAATTACCAACAAAACGTAGAATTCAGAGGGAGACTTTGTACAAAAGTCGATTGCTTGGGTACCTCTGTCCCATTCGTGTTTCTACCGTGAAGCAGTTGTGTTTGCATGGCTGTGTTTCGGTTTAAAGGGTGGGATATGGTAGTGAATTTACAGGGTACAAAGGAATAACACCTTAGTCCTCAGGAATGGCAACGCATGGGGGGTATCATGGGCGAAACAGTATACTCTTTTATGTCCATGGTACTGCTCATGTCTATAGGCGACGGTTACCACTTTCCATCAGGTGGGCCGTCAGCTTGTTTACCATTCTAAATTCTATAAAAATAAATCTCTCTAAATACTCTCTCTACGTAATAAAAATGATAAACCTAGATATTTAATTTATGTAAATTACGTAAAATCGTCATAGTCGTAGAATACCGACGGATCTTTATATGTAACATTTGTCAGATTCGTCAGTATTCTACGACTATGACGAATTATTCGTTAATTAAAAGGAACGCTAAAAATAAATTCGGTGATTTTAATCTGTAAATTTAGCTCTCGAAATAGATAGCAATTATTTATTAATAATAATGTATAATATTAATAATAATAATAATAAAAATAATCCATCATCACGGACAGGACTGTTCTTGCGAACAAACCTGATATCGTGGTGATGGACCGGGCACTTTCGAGGGTGTTTTTGGTGGATGTCACCATACCGCATGACAATAACCTCGTGAAAGCCGAAACCGAGAAGAAGAGAAAATATCTTGACCTGGCTCACGAGGTGACCGAAATCAGGGGGGTGACATCTACCGAAATCATCCCAATCGTTATGTCGGTGAACGGTCTTATCCCAACCAGTCTGGAACAACATCTCAGACGGTTAGGATTCCGAGGCGGCTCACTCCCGGGAAAGATGCAGAAAGCGGTGCTCTTAGATTCTGCCCGCATTGTACGCCGGTTTCTCTCCCTGGGGCCCTGAACCTCGGCCGACTGTGCTTCTGCCGGGGGTTAGTTGCCATCTCCTCTCCTTAAGAGGGGAGATGAGAATTTTAGTAAAATTTAAAAAATAATAACAAAAATAAAACAATAATAGATAGCAATAAATAATTGAATTGAATTGAATTCAACATTCTATTAATGAATTGTATTCAATTCAGATCTGTGCTTCTACAAGTTTGCTATCAATTGTCTCATGTTAATGGACATTCTAATGAAAGTATTAGGCAATCAATGTGGTTGTCTGTCATACACGGGCCCCGGAACTTGCATACAATTAAACGAGTGTGTGCGGTCAGTCGCATTATTATGGTCAATTACACGGAAGCGCATTTGATGTAATGCGATTGTGTTTTGCAATTCGATCGGAACTGTTATGGAATAGTGACCGCTGATCTAGTGGTGAGAGAACAGTTTTATGTACAACCGACTTCAGAGGGATACTTTGTACAATAGTCGATTGCTTGGGTACCTCTGTCCCATTCGCGTTTCAACCATGAAGCAGTTGTTTGCATGGCTGTGTTCCGGTTTGAAGGGTAGGATATGGCGTGAATTTACTGGATACAGAGGAATAACACCTGAGTCCTCAGTAATGGCAACGCATGGGGGGGTACCATGGGCGAAACAGTATACTCTGTTATGTCCATGGTACTGCTCATGTTTATAGGCGACGGTTACCACTTTCCATCAGGTGGGCCGTCAGCTTGTTTGCTATTCTAAGTAGTATAAAAATGAAAAATAACACTTCAAAGGAGCAGGTTCTCATATAAATAAATAAATAATTAATACATAAATAATTTATATGCATGTATGTATATAAAGTTACATACATTATGAATTAAAAAAAAAAAACTTTACATTTATTATTGCCAACATGGTCACCACTCAGCATGTGCTGCAGCAATTTAATTGCTACAGCGCTGATATTCTGTGGTGCCCATACGTGACATTACGAACGACGACAGCAAACATACGCATATATATATGTGTATATAAGTGTATATAATGAGTAGGGATATATATTTTACATTATTACATGTATCATATCTCTATATTAAGATATAATAGAATTTCATCGTGCCTCCGATCAAACTGTTTATAATTACTCCTCTCCATCCAAAGATTGGCTGGAAAGATCGCTTTTAGCGATAAGGTCGCCCATTGTTTTCTCATTGTGATTATTTCTTGTAATTGTTTATATTTATATTAAGTTTATTATTGTAATCTTTTGGAGGAAACAAAGAGTCATTCATCTATTTACAGTTGCATTTCTGAAGGTTTAACTTAAAACCTGGTGCATGTTTCATCTTAATACGCCATTTAAAAGTGATATGTTTCATAGTTTTCCTATTTCTTAAATCCATGTTTACGAAGTAATGGACAAAAAACTAGTGCAGTGTAAAGTCGAACTTATTAATATCAAGTTAAGACACAGTTTTATTAGTGAGACTGAACATTTTTTCCCAAACAAATATGGGTCGGAAAGAAAAAAAAATTGGGTCCAGATGTCAAGTCAGTATGGAACGATATCACTATGGGAGATTAAAAACTTTTTGCATTATATTGTGACCTATTTTTGTATGAATAAAATGTATAATTTCACTGCTCGAACATTCATTTAAAAAATAACAAAGGTTTGTTTTATTTCACTTTACAGAGATTTAGCATTAAGGTATTAATATATTGTACATATTTTTATTAAGATCCCTTCCATATTTTATTTAATCTATTTCAAGTACAGACACTGTCCAGTTAGAATTTTGAATCGACTTCAAAAAGTAGAAGATTCTCAATTCGTTTGTATTTTTGTTGTTTGTTACCTCAAAACTCCGTCAGTTTTACATCTATTTAAAAAATCCTTTTTTTTATATGAAAGGATATATTTACAGATTGGTTTCGTAGCAACATTATCAAAATCGGTTAAGTAGTTTAGTTTTTACATCAATATAATTAGTATTGTCACAATTTAAGGCCGTTTTTTTTTTGTGGAACGGAATCTCATTATTAAAACTTCCGTGTTGTAAAAAAATATAGACTAAACTAAAATTGCAACATTTTAAGTCATTTAAAACAATATATAACTGAATAATTAGAGTGAGTTGAATCGAAAAAAATTGTATTTATTTTTGGAATACAAATTCTAAAAAGAAAATTCTCAATTTTTCGATATTATTTTAGGGTCACGTGAATAAAATATATATTCTTTATTGCACTTGTAAGTGTTGGATAAAGCTAAATTAAAATAAACTGCAACAGGAAAAGACATCGGTCTTCAAGTTTTATTAGTAGACTGTCAATTATAAAAAAAAATAATATTACCATACCATTGAGGTTATATACTCTAACACGCCGCCTTAATCGCAATGGTAATAACAGTCAACAAACACATAAAACTATAACACTGTATACTACAGTTGTCAACCAACGCATTTGTCTACAACATTTAAGCCTAATTCCGAAACAAATTTTTGATGCTTTTCAACAGAGAGAGGCTTTGTTAAGACATCAGCAACCATCTGATCAGTTGACAGGTACTTAATGCTCAGCATACCAGCTTCAACCAATTCTCTAATAAAATGATGCCTCACGTCAATGTGTTTAGTTCTCGCATGAAACATTGCATTCTCAGACAATTTCTGCGCTGACTGATTATCATTAAATACAACAATCTCAACTGGTGTACTAACTAAGCCCTCATTCAAAAAAGATTTAATAAATACAGCTTCATTACAAGCATCAGAAAGTGCCATATATTCTGCTTCGGTGCTCGATAAAGCTACAGTGCGTTGTTTTCTACTCTCCCACGATGTTATCGAATTACCAATTTTGAAAACATACCCAGTGTATGACTTCCGATCAACTCCGTCACCAGCCCAATCTGCATCCGTGTAACCAGTAACATTTAATCCTGACTGTTTATAGTTAAGACAATAATCAATGGTCCCTTTTAAATAACGTAAAACTCTTTTCGCCGCCTTCCAGTGAACTTCTGAATATCAATCATTTTTAGATAATAACTGTTGGACACTTGAAGATTTACCAAAGGATAAGAAACCTGTTAAGTGTAAATGGATTTTTAAGAAAAAGAGAGGCCTGAATGGAGAGATTTTACAATATAAGGCACGTCTTGTAGCGAAGGGATATACACAGAAATATGGTGTAGACTATTTCGAAACCTATTCGCCAGTTGTAAGATACTCTACATTGAGAATGCTATTAGCTCTAGCTGCTGAATTTAACATGGATGTTGACCATATGGATGTCAAAACGGCGTTTTTAAACGGTGATTTGAAGGAGATAGTATATATGGACATTCCAGAAAGTTTTGAGCTTGAAAATAGCCATAATAAAGCCTATCGTTTACACAAAGCTGTATATGGTTTAAAACAAGCGCCAAAATCTAAAATAATATTACCATACCATTGAGGTTATATACTCTAACAGTAAGTTGCATATAAAATAATCTATTTATAAATGTTGTGAGCAAGAGTGGACTTATCTCTGACAGAGATCTCTTCCAGTCAACCCAGTACAGTGAGAAAGCATTTCGTTAGCGGGCAACTGAAGTGCTACAACTATTAATACATAAACAAATATACAGTTAAATAAAATATTAAAATATATAATATAATATTACATAATATATATCCACGTAACCGGGATATATTGATTAACTGGGACATAGTATTTTATTATCTGTGATCGGAATAACTTGTTCATCATATATATTAAACTGTAAAACCGCTAAAAGGTTTTTTTTTAATGGATGAAACGGTAATCCTGTCTGCGCTACTGCTGTACGCTGGCGGGGCACCAGTGACGGATGATAGGTAAGAATGAAAAGACAGGTCAGGTAGCCCATCGTGAAGGAAGAAAGAATTAACCACGATGTATTCCAGGGGTAAACGCGTGAAGGTCGACTTGATAGAGTACATCACTAGCAATTGGGGCAGTTACTAACTCATTACTAAGATTTTCTATATGATATTAGTAAGGAACTTACACGACTAACTAAATGTGAAGGAGTTAATGGGGTATAATAAAAAACGATGTAAATTAATAATTTTTTTTTACTTAAACACTTAAATTCGACTCATTTTAAGTACAAATAAGAAGTATTATTTCAGTTATTAGATCAACTAGATTATGGCAACACATAAAATTTGTATAACACGTATTATCACTACATAAATATGTATAAAATATATATAAATTATATATTTTACAAACTTATTAATACTGTTCCTATTTACAACGATCACTTGGCTCAACGTTACAAAATAAGGCACCATCTTAACATGAATATACGTAAGGCACCAATTAGCACCAATTTTTTGATAAATTTCTTTTACGAGAAAAAATTCTTACTTTTTAATAAAATGTTTTTAAAAATTTTCTCGTCGAAACGAAAAATTTTATAAAAGCATATCTATAGGCACATCACTAGTTCGAATTCATTATTTTAAATTTTTAACAAATTATTCTTTATATTTTTTTTACATATTTTCTGATAAGAATACATCATTTACCCGTAACTCTTCGTAGAATACGTTTAACAGCGTTACAGTGGCGTTTATTTACAATTTTACAAATTAAACTTAAAAAAACAAAACAATAAAATTTCCCTGACAACTTTCCTAATTTGTAACTAAAGAAAAACAATAAAATGTAAAGAAAAATTAAAATTACACTATTCTGATCGTTTGTATTCTTAAATAGAATTCAAATATATAATCAAGAATAACATCGAAATACATAATGTGTATATTTCTACATTAGAAATATTCATACCGAAGTGTATGTTTCAATTATTATTTGTCAATTTTCCAAAACAATTAAATATAATTTTCAATATATTTGAATAATTATTTGAAGAGTATTTTAAAAGTGAACTAAATCATTTATTTTGCAATAAGATTCTTAATATATGCGTTATAAAAAAAATCTCTCACCGAAATGTGAATTATGATGGTGAAAAAGTATTTTTCTCTTATATGCATAATGTTCGGTGATCAGCATTTAGTACACTAGTATCGAAGCCTTTTTAAAGAGTCATGCAGAAATATTGAATATTGAAAAATGTTTAATTGATTTTTAAAATTAACAAATCATGTTCGTATACTCAAAATACATAGAAAAATATATAAATAGAAAATAGAATTGATTCTATACATTTCATCATATCTTGTATATTCATGAATCAATCTTTATAATACTAAAAAAGGAACATAGATGTATTGTGATGATAAAAGGAACTCATTATTTCTAATAATCCAACTAAAACAGAATTTCAATTAAAATACAAAAAATATCATTTGTCAATTTATACGTCGATGTAAAATGTATATTATTATGGAAAAGTATTCTTTTCTTGCCATATTTACAATAGTAGGAAGACAATGATTATATTTACATTTCTGTATTTTAGTGAAAATATATTTACTAACTAACCTACCTGGTTTTAGACTCTGACATAACAATATTAGACTCCAAATACTTTTACGTTTAAAATTAAGTTTCAAAATCTATTTCAAATTAATTAAGATTTTAACAATCTGCTCAAAACAGATCAAACATAAGTAGCAGAACTAATAAAGAACTTACAGCTAATGTAAATTCTGTCGTATGAATTCTTTGTATAAATAGAATTCTTATACATATGTGAAAAGTTTCAAATACAATTTGAAGAGGAAATACTAAATCTAAACAGAATGTTGCACACAGATGCACCTCACAAAGTCTCAGACTAGAAAATAAAGAGTTTCTGCTCCAACGAACACAGTCAAGTGGACGCTAATCTTGCCTAAAAAGGAGACCTCAAGAATATTATCTAAAATAATACTGGGCCTTTTAGCTGTTGTACGTATTTATTGCACTAAATACCTATAAGGGACCTACATAATACTATCGGTTTATACATAAAGATTCCACATATTTCGGGTCCATTTCGTCAATTTCACGACCTTTCGTCTCAGGAACGAATAACACTACGAATAATAAACATAAAACTGATATACCCGCATACATCCAAAACAAACCATGCAGACCTATATGTAATTGGAAATCAGTTGCAGTTTTAACATTAACAAATCCACACAGATGACTAAAACTTGTAGCTAAGGCACTGCCAGTACTTCGGTACTCTAATGGAAATAATTCTCCAATTAAAAGAGCAGATATTGGGCTAATACCTAATGAAAATGCAATGGTAAACGTTAACACACAAACTAGAGGTATCCAGTCATAAGACCCAGGATCGTCATGAGTCAAATTTGTTGAATTCGAATTCACGCCTCCATAGTAAGCATGTGTGCCAAAGCCAGCTAACGCTATTGACATTGTAACTCCACTTATCATCAACAAAGGTAATCTTCCGACATTGTCTATTAGCATACCTGATAAGCAGGATGCTAGAAGTTGAACTACACTAGTTGCGATAGCACCTCCGTGTGGGTTCATCATTCGAAAAGTCTTCTTAAACATGGTCAGAGCATAAAAGTTAAATAAATGGGCTCCAGTGAATCTTTGGAAGAACATCAAACCACAAGTTATTAATACTGGTCTAGTTAACCTTTTAGATAGCAATACTTTAAATTTACCAGTATTGCCATCGTTGTATTGTTTGCTAGCTAGAATATTCGTACGTATCGTAGCTAGTTCTTGGCGAATATCAGCATCTGGTCCTCGAAGCCACTGCAAGGACTTTTCGGCTTCTTGTTCCTTCCCCCTCAGTAGTAGAGTCGATGGTGTTTCAGGAACGAAGAGAAGAGCTAAAAAGAGAAGTACTGGAGCAGAAGCTACGACTAACGCGAGCTGAGACCAGTTCAAATATGCTCCAAGGGAGAACGAGATCAGAATGCCGATTTGGCTCAAGATCTTCAATAGGGAACTCAGGCATCCCCTTATTTCCGGCACTGCGATCTCTGTCACATACACCTGTGGACAAACAGAAAATAATTTTAAAATATGATGCATATATATATAATATTAGTTTTTAACCGCGACTTCACCCGCGAGATTTAGACATGTTTTATTGATCTGCACAAGAAACAATCTACATTTTTCACCATTCCAAATACTATGATAATTTCATGATGATTGGTAAAACACTTAAGGCACCAAGAAATAATAATTAAACTCATGTTCACATTTATATTATTAGTATTTTTTTTAAAACAGAGGGCAAACGAGTATTCGGCTGGTGGTAAATGACTACCGCTGCCCATGATCACTCGCAACACCATAGGCATTGCAGGTATGCTACCGGTTTAAGTAACGTAAGGACATTTTTCATAATCAGATAGACCAAGATAATCAAATAGAGAAATGAATCAAGAATCTCTATAATTAGAGCATGGGCAAGAGGTAAGTTTAGAAATTTAATTTTTAAAAAAAATTATGATTAAAAATGATATTTGTAAAAAAAGGATTTTAAAATATTGCCACTCCTTCGCACTCAGTTTTCTCTGCCTACATCGTTAGATTAGAAGATCGCCACTAACTGCGTTTTCCTGCATAAAGTCACTCAATTTTCTTCTCTATCGGTTATCAGTTTTTCGGGCTGTATGGTCCAATCATTATCAATTCAACCTGCTTCAGAGGGAAGGGATTGTTAGTAATAGGAAGGAAGTACCCATTGTTATCAATATACACTATCAGGTCGATCTCCACGCGGTTCCCCCTGGAAACTATCGTGACTAATTTATCGTAGAATTCGTCACGATGTGCTAACTGACCTGTCTTCATCCTCACCTACCACCCCTCACTGGTGCCTCGCCAGTGTATACCGATAACGCAGATGGTGTTACCATTCCATTATCATCCATTAAAACAGTACATAGAAACTATTTTGTGTCCTATTTAAAAACAAATCTTTGATGTTTTGTTCGCTAATACAATGTAATATAATATATTTTCATAGACAATATAATATATTTTCATGGCCATAGACAACTTGTCATAACAAAACGTGTTGATGACTCGTTCATAATTTGCCCGCGTGCCGTGACTAATTCCTATTTCTCTATTGAAGACCTTAATATTTACCGCAAAGTGTTATTTTTATCTAACATCATCCAATCTAAACTATTATTACAAAGCGGAAAGATTTGTTTTATTTGTATGTTTGTTTGTAATGTGTAGTTTAAGTGAAATGATTTTATTGTTTTGCATACGAAATATTTTTTATTTCTTTATAATATAATATATATCATATATAAATTTAAAAATTACTTAACCCACTTTAAAAATTATTCACATACTTGCATTGCTTTTTTTTTTGATAGGTGAAAATGGTATGGTAACCCCGCCCGCGCTAACGGGATACGCTGGCGGAGCATCAGTAAAGGGTGATAAATGAGAATGAAAACAGGCCAGTTAGCCCATCATGATGAATTCATCAGGAATTAACCATGATAGTTTCCAGGGGGTACCGCGAGGAGGTCGACCTGGTTGGATATATTGCTAGCAATGAAATTCTCAGTCTCTATTACTAACAATCCCTTTCCCCCCATTCACATACAGGGTGTAAGGGACAGGTTGGCAGTTTCGTAGGCTTTATTTTATTTTTAATTAACCGTGACAAGACGGGGCGGGTTGCTTGCTGTTATAAGACGCGGAAGCGTTTGTGTGGCTGTGAGGAAAAAATTGCCATATTTATTCCGAATACTTAACTAATTCTAGTTAATACTAGTTAGTCTAAGTCTAAGACTAGTTAAAACATTAAGACACTAAGCGGTAATAAATATACGAAAACATATTCACATACTATTAATATTAAGTTGAAAGTATAGACTGTATAGACAGACGTTTGTTATTCTATCATGCAAAAACTGCTGAGCAGAATTGAATGTAAATTGGCACACGAATAGGTTATATCCTAATTCATCACATTAGGTATTTTAAGTACTGATTGGCATGAAAAAAAATCATGGGAGATGGCTAGTTTATAGTAATGTTACAAAGAATAAGAATAAAATATATTTTCATTGTTTTTTCTTTTTATAACCACAGTAATATAAAATCACAATTCATGCCGTTTTCCAAGTACTAGAACAATTTATATTTAAAGTAACCGAACCATAATCGTAAATTGACACACGTGTAGTCACTTCTTTGAATTCGTTTCCACCGCATGTTCTTAGGCATCTTATACAGTACTAGCGGCCCGCCCCGGCCCGGGTGGACATTTTTACAACATTTTAAAAAGTTATTATTGTGACATAACGATAATAGTTAGACATATAGTATCGAGAAGTTTTTTGTAGTTATTGATATTTTCTTCAATATTGTAGAACATACTTTTGTTCTCGCATCAATAGTTTCCGCAGCGCACGCGACAAAAGATATTTTATAGCATTTTTTTTACACCTTGAGTTACGTTACTAAAGTTTTAGTAAGGACCCCTAATCTTTTCTAGCAATAAATATAGCCTATGTTACTCAGGGTGAATGTAGCTTTCTAATGGTGAAAGAATTTTTGAAATCGGCATAGTAGTTTTTGAGTTTATTCATTACAAACACACAAAAATACAAATCTTTCCTCTTTATAATATTAGTGTAGATGTAGATAATATAATAAAATTATAACTGGATGTCTGTACATGGGAAATATTAAAAAAAAAATCTCAATGCCATTACCATTACCCAAAGGTCTGGAAGAGATTGCTTAGCGATAAGGCAGCCTTTTGTATCACTTCTTATTTCTTAAATACTGTATTTTTTTCCTTGGTGCATTAAATAAATAAATAAATAAATATATGTAGGATGTCTTAATAAGGGCAATAAAAGGCAAAATAATAATTTTTGGAATTTTTGTCCGTTAGTCTGTTTGTATTTTTGTTTCGGCTACACATAGAAATTACTGCACCAAATTGGATGCGGCTTTCATTAATCATCATTTATGTCTTTGAAAATTAAACTTAAAACAAGTCTATTTCATTGGTTTTTATTTTTTTTTAATAAGAAACGTCATAGTATTATTAGGCAAAATTTCATGACAGATTAATGACAACAAGTAATAATATTGTAAAGACTGTATTTCTCACAGCATACCTGACGACAAGAGATTTTATAACGAAATAATTTAAATTGGTATTTTATAATTGATGTATATTTTAAAAATAATAATAACAATTTATTTAATTAATAATATAAAAATGTTAACTATGGGTATATACCTGAAAATAAAGAGATTTATTATTATTTTTAAATTTTACCAAAATTCTCATCTCCCCTCTTAAGGAGAGGAGATGGCAACTAACCCCCGGCAGAAGCACAGTCGGCCGGGGTTCAGGGCCCCAGGGAGAGAAACCGGCGTACAATGCGGGCAGAATCTAAGAGCACCGCTTTCTGCATCTTTCCCGGGAGTGAGCCGCCCCGGAATCCCAACCGTCTGAGATGTTGTTCCAGACTGGTTGGGATAAGACCGTTCACCGACATAACGATTGGGATGATTTCGGTAGATGTCACCCCCCACATTTCGGTCACCTCGTGAGCCAGGTCGAGATATTTTCTCTTCTTCTCGGTTTCGGCTTTCACGAGGTTCTCGTCCTGCGGTATGGTGACATCCACCAAAAACACCCTCGAAAGTGCCCGGTCCATCACCACGATATCAGGTTTGTTCGCAAGAACAGTCCTGTCCATGATGATGGATCGGTCCCAGTAGAGCCTGACGCTGTCGCTTTCGAGGACCGGCTGTGGCTCGTACTTATAGTACGGCAACCTCTCATTCGCGAGGCCGTACTTCAGAGCTAGCTCTTGATGGAGTATTTTGGCTACCTGGTTGTGCCTGTGCAAGTACTCTGTGTTGGCAAGAGCTGAACAACCCGAAAGCACATGTCTGAGTGACTCTCCAGGATGGCGACATGCTCGACAGATGTCCTCAGTGCCATCCTTCAGAATGTGCTTTCGGTAATTGTTCGTCTTAACCACCTGATCCTGTATTGCACAGACAAAACCCTCGGTCTCTCCGAAGAGATCACCGAACTGTAGCCAGTGCACGGAGGTCTTCGTGTTTACGTACGGCCCGTGAAGGGCTTTGAAGAACCTTCCGTGCAACTCCTTCTCTTTCCATACGGCCTCCCGCTGAGAGGTACTCAAAACTTCGGGTTTTCGCCAGTCCTCTTTAGCCAGAGAAAGAGGGGTGAATGCTTTGTCACATTCTATGACCTCTCTATGCAAACCCTCGTCTCTTTTCTCCAGAAAATATGTCCTGAGGCTGTCAATCTCGCGGTTGTGCATGGTCTTAACGCTTAACAAGCCTCGACCACCAGCTTTCCGCGGGATATACAGCCTCATGACTGACGATTTCGGGTGATGCATTCTATGGAGGGTCATAGTTGTGCGGACTTTCCGATCCAGGGCTTCGAGTTCGGTTTGAGACCATCTGAGCACGCCAAAAGTGTAAAGGAGTACGGGTACGACCCAGCCGTTATAAGCTCGGATTTTATTGGCGCCCGACAAAGAACTTTTCAGTACTCTTGTAAGGCGCGCAAAAAATTCCTCGCGGACTGACTGTTTCATATCCGTCTCCCTCACACCGATGTTTTGTGACATGCCCAGATACCGGTATGTTTCAGCCTCGGAGAGGGTTTTAATATTAGAGGGATCTGTGGCGATCCCTTCAGTTTGAGTGACCCGTCCCCTCTGCACATGGAGGACCGCGCACTTGTCTATTCCGAGCGCCATCCTAATAGAGCTGCTATAATCGTTTACGATATTTAGCAGCTCCGTCAGGCGTTCGACGCTCGGAGCTAGCAGTTTCAAGTCATCCATGTACAGAAGGTGAGACACTCGTGTACCTCCTCTCCGATACTGAAATCCAGTCCCCGAATTCTCCAGTAAAGTACTGAGTGGATTCAGGGACAGGCAAAACCAAAGTGGACTCAAACAATCGCCCTGGAATATTCCTCTCTTTATCTCTATCCGGTCAGCGGT